CTCATAAGGCTCTGAGGCCGGGCTGGACTGCAGCCCCTGAAATTGGAGTTTGGGATCGTCTGCTGGGGATCTCAGCCACGTCCAAGGCATGCAGAGTGCTGGCGTGGGGAGCTGCTGCCCTCTTGGCATTTCTCCTCTGCAAAGTCATACCTGGCTCCTTGCCAAGCCTGGGGAAGACCCTGGGGAAGTCCCGGGCGTAGCCCAAAGCTGATAGGGAACTTTCGAAAGTGAAAACTTGGAGAAAAAAGTTGCCTGCAGATTTAGCTAGGAGCAAAGCAGTGGTGTTCCAGAGACAGGCAGCCAACTTGTGTCCTTTTGGGGGTCTGACCTGAGGGAGCTGCAAGGGAAAACAGCAGAATCTAGATCTCTGAATCTGGCCAAAGACTGTGTGCTATCCTCTCCGAGCATTTGAACTAACTCAAAGTCTGAGCCTTTTTAATAACCGTAAGCCAAATCACCACTAGGTTAATTGGACTGTATTTAGTTAAACTGAAGCATTGTCCTAAATTCTTAATAGAATTTTCCATTTGAACTTCGTTGGTATTAGAAAGTAATAATATTCAAGTGTAAACCAAATGATGTTTTATAAGATTATGTAATGACCCGATATTTTCCCCTTAGTTCTTCGATCATGTGAAGGCTGGAATTGAAGATGTATGTGGACACTGGGGTCACAATTTTTGGAGAGATAAGTAAGAATGGCATTTCAAGCTCTTTGTTATACAGGGAAGATGAAAGTGGCTCAGCCACAACAAATGAAGGCTGTTGGGCATCGTATTTCATTTTCAGCGTTTCATTCCTGAAAGCAGATGGTTGTTTTTAGAATGTGTGGGTTACAAAGAGAAAACAGGAAAACAGAATCTTTTTACTAAACCACAAGCAAGTGCAACAAAAACTCCAGCTGGGAAAAAACACAACCCTCTGATCCCAGGGTAAAGAGTTTTACCTTCTGAGGTCTCCCTCTTTCTGGCTGTTTCAGCACATTTCCTGTGTATCCAATGAGTCTTTCATCCACAGGCTTTTTTCCTGCTGCAAGTTGTGTATTCCTCTGGTGTTTAGTCAGGGGTTATTTGATGAGAAACGCACAAAAGCTTTGGGGTTTTCTACAGGAAGATCAAGGCATTAGATGACATGAGGTGCATGAGAGATCTTAATGGCAGGCAGCTCCACAGTTCTTGATGGTATTATTTAAGACTTAGTGTGAGTTAAGAAGATTATCACTAGCAATGCATGA